CATAAAAAAATATGTTCGAATCAATGTCAATATCAGTGTAGGCGTTCAAATAAATCGGTTTAATACAATAAATAGAAGCCCTGTGTTATCTTGAATTAGTCCGCACTTTTAGGCTCGAATTAGCAGCCAATTTAGAAATTACCTCCGCTAATCGTAAATCTCGTCGATTCAGGGACAGACATTTAACAGTAGAATTTCGGGAAGGGCACCGATAGATTAAGTGACCGCTGTCGCGAAAAATTTCTCTCCTTTGCTTAGCTCAAGAAAGCACCAAAGGATATTTTCTTTTGGGAGGTACTCCCTGGCCGAAATTATTCGCCAGGGTGTGTTTTCTGGGGGCGATTTTTCTGAAGTAAGAGAAGTGTAGGCTCTCGCTGAATTTGTCCTAAATGCTAATATTAAATTTGGTTTCCGGCAACAAACTTCAAACTTTCAGGATTAAAATACGCGTTATGCCCCAAACCATTTGTGATGGTTAGTGCATCAAACAATTGCTCTATTTAAAAAAGGTCGCCATTTCAACAAAGATTATGTTGTCCCACATGGAAAAATTCAATTGAAATTCGGTCAACCAAATGTGGAAATGTAAAAAATGAAGAACGTCGGTAGGATTACTCCATTAAAAATTATTAATGGCTTACAGATGTACATACATAGCATATGAATAATTGAAGATGCTTCCATCCGCTATCCATTTTTAGCAATAGGATTTCGACTATCGCTCACCTTTTGGCTTTTAATTGTGCATAGCTTCAATCGAAGTGTTCCACGGTGAGTCGAAAACGTTGGCTGGTTGTGCTCTGAATTTCTAACGACGATATGATAAAACTTTTCTAAAACAGGTTAAAATTTAAAATGTCATTAAGGTGCTTTCTAGCGGCTAATAGGGTTTTAAAGACTGCATCCAGAAGTGAAATACTTAAGATAACGCAAGTGCCTTTCTTGATGTCTGTCATAAGAGATGATATAAGAATCGCTTTTTAGTTTTCGTTTTATCGCACATCCTTTTCGCAAAGAATCGCTCGCAAATCCTGGTAGGTGGTGGCTTTGGAGAGTTTAAAATTTATTACGCTAAACGTCTTCTATTTAAAGCGCTCCTTTTTTTATTGGTTTTTAAGGGGTAAAACTACTATTAATGTGACAAGTTAATTATAAAAATTAATGTGTGCGAGCAGTCAAAATGTCTTCACTCTAAGGATCATTAAATTTACTTTAATAGCACTTAATTGTTTTAAAATACTTTACGTTGTGATATCAAATTACGGTCTGCTTCATTGATTTATTTTACCAGTTAGGAGTGAACTGCGGCTGGGAATAACTTATGCTGCTTTATTATGTATATTGGTAATGGTAATATTAACCAATTTACACCTAGCAACCCGATTTTCTATTTATCCATCTGTGATCGCGACGTGAATTAATCAGGATAAATACGACGCCGTGTTAATTATAAGCAAGTACGATAACAATAATTCTTATTGATCGCATAACCTACCCTCCGTTTCCCCGCGGAAAACGAATGCGTAGCATAATTTAGTTTGCACTTTCCAGATTTATGTAATTGAAAATATATCGCGAGCATTCTTCTTGAATGTGTGTCAAATTTCGAAATTATTCGCGTGCTAACAGCCCTTGCATGATGAAAATAGAAAGTTCCGGAAATTTACATTATATTTGTTTAATTTCGCGAATTATGCGTATTAAAGTCAGCTTGTTTATGGACACGCAGGCTCGGGACTTCCTGTAAATTTTTTGAGAAAAAAAGCGGATTCGACGTATCCGTTATAAATGAAAGGTTGCACTTGGTGTACGAAGTAATGAAGTAAATTTAATGTAACTAATCGCATTATTCAAGTGTAAATTGCGGTTTCTTGTTCGGACGAAAGGAACAGGATACAGATCTGCAAGTCGTGTTCGTTTCTCGCATATCGGCTGTAGTGAAATAAAGCATTCGCCACACGTGTGACTTCTTTTGTTTTTAGCATTTAGGGAACTTCAGTACTGCAGGACAGTAAAGTGAATAGAATAGTCGCTGTAATTTGATATTTTTCGCTATTGGTCGCTTTAATCCTATTATGCCAGGCGATGTTGCTTTTTTGCTTCCAATCAATCAAGGAAGATTTTTGCAAACCTTAACATCCACTTCACCCCCAACCTCAAAAATAAGCACGCCATGTAGTTCCTCTTATTATTATCAATAATATCTTTACTGAGTAGCCAACGAATAAAATTTTGATACGATTGAACGTTCTCTTTCACCTCCTCACCCACCCACACAAATAATAAAAACACCTCTGGTCGTTAAAAATCAAACGAAACTTTTCTGAGCAAGCCCAAATTAGTCGCGATTACCCAAAATTGTAAAGTTAGGGACATTTTTAATTCGCGGTTTATAGAAGGTTAGAGTGCGAACCTAACGAGAAGCTGTTCAAAATGTGCTGTTGCCAGTAATAATTTGATTAACTAAAATTTCAAGTTTCGGCTTGTTGAGGTGGCAGAAAATGAACAAAAAATGGTTTCATGTTTTTTGGATCTTTATAAAAAGCAATGGGTGCGGTGCGTTTACCAGACGAAGCGTTTCGTGAGCGCTACCTAAAGGTGGGAATACTAGAACAAGGTCGAGTTGTACACAAGAAGGACGTATGGTGGTATTTACACCTCAGCAGTGCTCCCAGACAGCTCTGCAACTCGCGCCAGAAGTCTTGCTAGAGTATTTCCACCTTTAGGTAAGGCTCATGAAGCGCTTCGTCTGGTGAACGCATCCAATGTTTGCCTGATTTGGTACGTTTCTTATGCGAATATTACCACCTTTGAATGCGGATATCTAATATTCGTCGATAAAACCTTTTAAGACCAATCAGGTAAATGAAGTAAATCCACAAAAAATTTGGTTGCACACACTCGCACGAAATCCTGGATATTATTCAACTAGTTATTAGGTGTATAATTTTCTCATATAAATCTCCATAATAAATTACCAGATGGACCCTCTGATTATCACAATTTCTTGGGCATGAAGGAATCAGTACAACGAGTTACTGTCACTTGTACCTATCTCCATTTTTTGTTACTCAATATCCCTTTTATTTGGCAAAATTCAAAAAAATTTTCTAATATAATTTTATATGTGACATTACGATCTATCCGATCGCATATTGAAATTTCCGGTATCATTTCCGGTTAAACAGAAAATCAATGCAACTTTTGTTTTTCAAATGCAATGTCTAGGTTTTTTAAGATCTTTGAAAAGAGTAATCAGTGCTGTACCACAACATTAAATATGCATATGGTTGGTATACAAAAATGGAGAAATTCAATATTATACAGTAGAACCCCGATTATCCGTGCTCAATGGGACCGGATGGCGCACGGATAATTGAAAAGCACGGATAATCCAAACAATTTATTGTTTCTTAGGGTAGGCATACGTATGTATACTAAAAATATAAGAAAAAAATCAAACTAAGGTATGTACAATAAATTCTACAAAAAAGTTCATAACACAATGAAAAAAAACAGAATTCTAGATAAGGTCTAACACAAGTACAGTTGCAACTTACATGTAGCACGCAGTCAAATGCGCTAATACTAAATGGCTAAATTTCGCTTAACCTGCATCGGCTGATGAAAGATAATTCTCTGAGCATGCGCGCACTCGGTATTACAGCCTGCGTCTCCCTCATGGACTAACGAAAATTCTCGTCAAGTGATTTACGGCAATGGTATTTCAATTAAAACTTTAAAAATGTACATAATTTCAAAAACGCGCAAGCATGGCACGGATAATCCGCATCCCGGATAATTCGCGCACGGATAATCGGGGTTCTACTAGAAAACTTATGAAATCTAGCGTACCGTGTGCTGTCCGGATGCGTTGTGTTCCGTTTCGAAGATTTACTTTTGCGCGATACAATCTCCTCGCGTAACACAACAGACACCATGCATCCTGAGTATCCTGACAGCATACGGCATGCCAGATTTCATAAGTTTACTAAATATTGAATCACAATTTCTCCATTTTCATATAATATCAATCATATGTTTTCGTACAGCAAATTGATTGCTCTTTTTAAATATTTTAAAAAACGTTGACTTTGTATTTATTTCGTTTAAACCGGAAGTTTCAATATACGATCGGATAGATCGTAATGTCATATAAAATTGTATTCAACAAATTTTTCGTAAGAGATATTGCGGTGAGCCCCTTATTTCGAACACATTGTATAACAGACTTTGGGGATATCATTTAAAATGTGCCACATGCTGTAACATAACGGGGCCATTGTGGGAAATAATAAAACTGGAAACAAATTGTCCGAGAAAATTCGATGTCTCATGCTGTGTGGTTGTTTATCGCTTTTAATTAAACTCCGAGTCAGTGGAATTCGATCAAATGTTTTGTAGCTGACGACGATCTGAAATAAAAACTGATTCGTGCACTTCATTTGATAGTTTACGGTTTTTACGTGCATAACCATTGTATCAATGCTAAACTTTTTTCTCAACGTTATTATTGCTTGTTGTTTAAATAAATTAGTTTACATGCGTTACAGTACGATATACGTGTACGTTAATGGCCACCAGCATTTTTGCACTTTCGGTATAACCGAAAATAAATTAAAGCATGAATAAAACTTTTCGTGTTTAATTTTCATAAGCTTCGAAAATGGACTCCAGGCATTAGGGAAATGAACAAAGGCCATCACTCTAAAGATATCGCGGGTTAAACGACTAATTGCGGCAATTAGCAAGGGCCATCATCATCACTGACCGGATTAACCTCACAGTATGCCGGAAACAAATCGATTATTAATTAAATTAATCATTGTTAAAGGTTTGTTTGTCTAACAGCACTATGGGATTAGAGAAATGAAAATACTTTCGCATATTTAATTAGGTGCTTATGGTGTTTTCTAGTCAACGTGTGGAACTTCGTTCTCATTTGCATTATTTCATTAAAAGGTGCGGCTTTTGCAGTCACAAGAAAGTGTGGTACTTACTTCCATACAAGTATGATGCCTATAAACACAGCCAGGACGAGAAGAACAACACATAACGCTATCACAGCTGAAGTCTGGAACGAGGGACTGCTGCGGTAACTTGCGTCAATCAGCTGAAACAACAAACATGTTCAGTATTGGCCATGTGCTTGCCACATAATTATTAACTAGTTTAGGGAAGATTTATGCGCTCTTGAATTTTATTAATTTGGGCCGCTCACCGTCACCCCAATTTGCCAGAGTAGGCAGACGAGTATCAGAGCGACGCACGACGGCGGCTACGAGACGCGACGCCTGCGATTTTTTCCAATATTAAATTAAAAGTTGTAAAGGTAATTTGTCTCTGTACTGGACAGTAGCAAGCAATCAATCTCCTATCGTTAGTAATTAGAGTCGCATCAGACCCTAACAGATGGTGTGGCGGTGATTTGTGGATTACTTGATAACAGAATGAAATCCAATTAATTCCGCTATGATTTACTATCGGATAACGTTGTTGCTTACTAATGAGATTGTAATAGTTTCGATGCACATAGTCGAGATTAGACGTACCAAGTTTGAAATAAGTTCCAAACTCTATTACGAGACAATTGCAAGATGATCGATATGTTTCATAACAAAGCACCAAAATCGACCCCCCGAAAGTATAGATTGGCCGGGAAGCCTCACCCGAAACTTTTTCAAATTATTAATTAGAAATTTTGACTCATAAATATTGTACGCTTAATCAAGTTCGGTTCAAAATTTATTACTACGGGTAATTTTTACATAAATAACGGAAATTCGCTAAGGGAAAAGTTTGGAATTATGTGAGGTGTTAAGTAGATAAATTATAAATGAAGGTGGTAACGTGAAACGTTCTTTAATTAAGATTTATTCGTACTATTCTCGATTCAAATTTATTGTGTTACCAACAGTTTTGTGTTGTTGGCCAATTTTCTATCCGTGCTGAAACTTTCATCGCGATTACAATCATTCGAGCGGTTTCACTCGTCGTGTAATGCAGCTATAAATTTGTGTTGACTTAATACTTTACATGCATGGTATATGTATACATACAACGTCACAACACGTTTTTTTGTAGATACAGGGTCTACTATTAAGATCGATGTGGGTGGTCTAACATTGTCGACATTACCTCACCAACGCAACCCTAACACATAATTCATGGCGAGGATTAACCAAATTGTGTGTCACGATTTAAGATTATCACTATTCCATATTTGGCGATAAACCTTTTTGGGATAGAGAGGCGTTTAGTAGCTCCCAAACAAATCGTTGATTTACAACAGAACCATTGTTGGATCGAATTAGCCAGATATTATTAAGCTTAATCGAGATGAAATGATCGGTGAGGTGAAAAACAGGAAGGAAGTCATGTGTGACCTGGAATGGTCGGTTCCGGTAGCAGGGCTTATAACAAAGACGTCCATATAACGCAATCAACCGAGCAGGTACGTTGTCTTTTAAAATAGACAAACGCTCTTAAAGTTACTGGAGCAAGTCTAATTTTTGTGCCTACAGTATACAATGTATTGTGCCGTTTTTTTCAGATGATAAAATTACGACCGCTCTTTACATTGAACTTTAGAAACTTTCTAATGAGTTAAATTCCAACTATTCAGTGTATTGAACGTGCTTTATTATGGTATCAGTGATAAAACAGATTCCACTCATTCAATTCAATTCTACTGTACATACCAAAACACGAACATTAGGATTTAGGAAAGTTTAAAATCATTCATGAACCTGTTTTAAGTATGAGAAAATGAGATTCAGCGATGGTGTAATATCTCCCAATTATTTGTGTTGATCAAAGTGTATGCTAATGTACCATTATTGATGAGAGTTATAGACGAAACAAAGATCAACCAATATACAAAGTCCATCTCTGACGCTTAAAAGGACGTTACGGCACGTAGCAGGAAAAGTAAGTCACATGCTAATTTTCCTTGCGCATCCTGATGCATTAAAGGGAAACCCAAGAAACAATATTTAGTGAAGGCACTGGACAAATGTGACAATAGCACCATTGAAGACAAACGAAACCGATCTAAGGAGCTTTAGTTCATCATGCGACCCAAGAACGAAGTGCTGGAACGAATGGTTGTTCAGACCATCGCAAAGATCAAGAATTGAAACAAATTCTGGAAAATATTGTTGTGCTAATTTACGTAGTTTTGACGATGTCTAATTTTTATTTACAGCCGTATTGTAATTTGTTTATTTTACTGTAAAGGAATTACGTGGCATACCTACCTCGAAATTATTTGCGTAATATTAAAAAAAAGTTTATCTCATGTTTTTCTCCGGTCGTAGATAACAGTTGCGCTTATTCTCGGTTTTGGGATGTATATAGTGTAATAGAAGAAAGTTAGTTAGTGGTTTAAGTGATTTAAATTCGTCGGTTTAGAGGTGTTTAGTTTAATTCGGAGAAAAGTTTAAGCGTTACGAAATAAAAAAGTGCAGTTTCTGAGGATTACAACTGCAAGCCCGTGCAGGTTTACGCCGTTATCAGTTTTGATAAGCGACCTGAGGAATTCCAATTAACAATAGGCCTACAAGTCCTGCTTTCATGCCGCGGCCCAAGATGTTCATTACGAACAGATTTAAAAACGACCGCCAAAATTATGCAAGTATAATTAAGAATCATAATAAGGAAATGCAGAATATGAGGAAAGCAGAATACCACCAGAAAGCAGAATAGAAGTCTTAAATTAACACAAGGGGCCTATGGTCAGGGCTTTCGATTCAGCAGGAAATTTTTCTTATATAGTAGCCTGCAGGTTAAGTTTACTTTTACTATACAATTTCTGTGATATAAATAGTCTGTAAAGGATGCAAATAAATATTAACATCAAGTCGAAGTGTCGGTAACTACCGCGTGTTTAAGATAAAAATAATCCCCGACCGAATTTACCTTGTGCGTTTGTGCTTGAGTGCTGTTGTCGAGTTTAAGAATCGAGCAGTTGTACTGCACAGCGAAGCCTATTTGTTAAGGTTCTTTTTTTATTAAAAGTTAAAAGTTCCTACCGTCCGAACAGCTACTGAAAATTTGTCATTATTCATCAAGCCAGTTTTGTTTGGAATCTAAGTGTTATCAAGAACAAGTGAAGATTCTCGAAGCTGTCAGCGAGTATTATTGTGTCAGTTTTAGTGCACCTAATATCGCAAACCTTGTATTTTTAATTGTCGACCGCCTGAGTGCGGGGTAATATGTCCAAACAAGCTTTGTAACCTTTCTTTCTTTCAGTTTCTTTTATTTTTCATGTACTTTGGAATAAATATTTGTCATTGTCAATCAATTAATTGTGTGTTTATTCAAATCCATTGTGCGACCGGACAATTTCATGTCAGATTTTTCTTTTCGTATCCAAGAATTATGTCAGGTGTTAATGAAAATGTGTGTAGTTAATTCTTTGTAATTTTCAAAAGTTGATCGACGCTCATGAGCCTCTCATATTATTAATTTTAATATTAAATATTTAATAATTAAATTTAAATCAACATTAATCCTGAGAGTATATCTTGGGCGAATCATAGAGAGATCCTGGAAGGATCGGGAAAGTCTATGAAGAATTTCTGGAAATTTTGGGGTTATTACTTCCAAAAACTTAAATCATTCAGATTCGGAGCACATTAACAGAATCGCAATGGTATTTATATTTATATTATTATATTATGAAAAAAGTTTGATTGCATCTCTCGAGAAATTGTAACTGCTTTGGAAAGATTCGATTGGAAGGTTATAAGCAAACAGAACAAGTACGAAATATATAATTTGTTTGCACTTACCTCGAATAGGTACTACGAAAATGCGGAAAAGTAATAAATTAATGTATGAATCCCAAACCATTGTTCAGTGTCATAGTACCTACATTACGACTAATAATCCATTTCAATATTCTAAAAGACACCCATTTGATAACAAATTTCAACCGTTTCAAATCATGTAGTATTGCTGCTGTTATGCTTTCTTTTCTGTGGTAATAAAGGAACGCATATATAAAGAAAACAGACGAATATAAAAAATTGCAAATAAAAATATATCCGTTCAAAGTGTGTAAAAATTTATTAAACCATTTTTAGGTTATGTCTCAACATTTTGGCATCAAACTTTATAGAGCAAATATTTGCATTTAGATATACACAATCTGCACAGGGCATGAATACGAAATTTATTTTGGAAGTAAAAAAAATAAGAGCAAGATAAAAAGGTTATCTACATTGAAAGTCGACAAGTCACAATTAATTGATGCTCGTCTCGCTTTTCTTTTTAATTTTATTGCATTTACAAATGTTAAAGGGTCGTCTTTAATTCAACAAGTGAAGAGTCTCGCACCGTTCCAAGCAGTAACATTTTTTCATTGCTTCCTTTAAACTTTTATAGGGTACTTAATTAAATAAACAAAGGTGGGTATTTGGCGTATTAATAAAAAAAATTAAATTACAAAGCTGGAAGTAATGTTAATTAAAAAAGGAATTAAGGAAGAATGATGAACTTATCATTATGGAGTATTTGACATTTCGCAAGTAACAGGAATGTTAACTGTTCGAATAAAATGGAAAATCTACTTTTTTCTAATTAATAGACCAATAACAAATTGAACTTTTTCAAGTGATTTATAACATACTTGTAAGGAATAAAAATAAATTGAATGGAGATATTTTTACAATACGACCATTACAAAAGATCATTACGTGGGTATAGAATAACAAAATTAAATTTCCATAAAATAACTTAACATCATTTGGAACAGAGGAACAAATTTATTGACGTATTTAATTTTTATAACCTTTTTTATCTTTACTCTGTTGCATTTATTACTTAGAACAAAACTGAAATGACCATAATTAAATCAAAGGCCTAACATAAATTTCAATGTCTACTTTGTATAAGATTTACAACGTTTTAATTGTAAAATGACATAAATTGCCTAACTGTTTAAGAGCGCAATAAAAGTTTTTATGCAATTTTTTCAGGCATTGGAAAATATCGAACGATTAAAATATGGAAAAAGCGTTTGCGAATCGTTAGACTTTCCGTAGTCATTAAGCAAATTTGATGCAAAAGGAATATCCGGACGCCGCCAACAACGTATCTTCCGGTAGA